CAGGACAAGCTCCTTTCTGTAATCCAATTCAAATGGGTTGTGATACTCCTTTGTCGAGTTCTACTTCTATAACAAAGAAGCTCACTGAATTCAATTCATACAGACAAATTACAGCTAACTATAAGCCAACAGGACCTCAATGTCAAGAGCCATTACAGGCATATAACGGTATCTTGAGGAACTGGTAGTGGTTCCACCAAGTAAAAGCGTTGGTTCTACCAAGTGAAAATAGCGACCCACTGAAATGATGGAGAGAACATTGTTATAATTTTTCATATTTGTCCAAAATTGTTATACAAATAACTTCAGCGCCATATGAAAGAGTTTTTTCTAAAACCGGAAACACTTTAAATGAAAGGAGGAACCCCCTTCTTATGAAAAAGGGAAAAGGATTTTTAAAAAATATAATACATTAATTAATCATATAGAGTTGTTGATTATTAATAAAAGAAAACCTATTTATTTATTTTTTAAATATCTTTAGTCTAATGTGTCTTTTAAATTAATTATTATAATATCTCCATCATTTTGTTGTATACTAATTAGAAGTGTGTTACATCAATTGAAATATTCATTTAGTGTTTCATTACCTTTTAAGGTACTTTTGTTTTATTTTAAGAGTTGTTTAAAATTGTTATGTTAAAATATTAACAGTTCTATTATTAAATTGAGGTACATATTTAATACATGTATCATATTATCTTGTAAATAATTTAAATCTTTGCTTAGTTTGGTAAGGTATATGTAAAGAATATTGACATAAATATGTACTGTGTGAATATTTATTTTAATTTAGATTTTATTTATTCGCTATTTTTGTTTTATTAAATATATATACTCATATATTGTGTTTGCTTAGCTAAAAAGAGTATTTTAAAATTGTTACAAAATTTACATAATTTTATATTTAATAAATTCCATTCTTTTGACATATATAAAGCATATTTTGTTTCAAAAAAGCATATGTTGAAAAACGTATATATATCTGCTTAGTACCTGACATACCTAAACAGTTATTAAAATTATTATAGTTAAACATGTGGTAAATTATTTATTACAGGGCCAAATATAGTACTAAAGGAATAAAATATATATAGCTAAATATTTAATATATATTTTATTGTCTAGTCACTAATATCAATCCAATGCTTAGTTTTATAAGATATGTATGAAAAATGTTTACATTAATATTTACCTGTTAGCTACTTATCTTAATTGACATTTTATTTAAGTTGGTAAATAATTTGTTTTGATGTAAATATGGTTACCACAATGCTAATAAATGTTTGTTTTTATAAAGTCAAAAGTCTTTTTGGGCAGTGAAATTAATTATTATAATATGTCAATAACATCCCACTTATTTTCATTTAATTTCAAACTAATTAAATTAAGAGTTCAATTTCTTCTAAACTATTTTTGTTTTATTATGTATATATATATATATATATATATATATATATATATATATATATATATATATATATATAAACTCATATATTTGTGTATGTTAAACTTAGTTATAAAAAGGTTATTTTTTAATTGTTACACAATTCTTTAGAATCTTTTATTAGGAAAAATGTTTCTTTGCATGAATTTGTTATATTTTTATTTTTAATTAAATATATTCCATTCTTTTGTCTTATGTAAAGTATATTTTGTTTAAAAAATTGTGTACATATCTGCATAGTACTTAACATAACTATATAGTCATTAAAACTATTACATTTAAAAATGGTGTAAAGTATTTCTTACAGGGAAAAAATTAATAATAAAGGAATAAAAGATACATAGGTACATATTTAATATATGTTTTATAATGTATCATATAAGCCCTATAACTATGCCATTTATAAGTACTAAGGAAGAAGACAGCAGGCGCTTACAGAAGAACCGCTTTTTCCTCCAATAATGTGCATTTTCCAAGGAACTGTTTCAAATATTTTAAAAATTAATCGCTGATTTGGAAAGATAAATGTATTTTCCAGATGTTTTATTTCAAGGCATTTTTCATTATTGTGGCTGTTTATTTGTAACCGTCACCTGATTTTTTAACATTAGTTTGAACAAATTGAATGAATTGACTACCTTGTTTTTATTGTCTAAAACAATAATTTTTAATATTTTTTGATGTTTTAATGTTAATAAAATGCCAATTATGACAAATTAAACCCAAATGCTGAATCTCAGTGACTGAAAAACTAATTCAAGTCAAATTGGTCAATTTTACCATGTTTTAGGACAGTGCATTCATTTTTTTTTTTCTGTTGGTTTTTTTTTTTTAATAAATAGTTCCAAAGAACACACGATATGAAATTTATAGGGATGTGGGGGAATGTATGGTAGGGAGGTCTGGTCCACTGTGTGCCACAACTGAGGGTGAATAGGCCATGGCGAACAATCCTTGCCAAGACCCGCACGTCCAAAGTGAATAAAGACGTGAATCCATCTGAATTCGTGAGTGTAATATTAATAAGTTATTGAAAAAAAGCTATAACAATGAGGTTTATAATTGTATGTATTTAATATAACAAAATTATCGTGAGACTTTTATTATCTATAAAATACAATATTAAAATTCTCAATTAACATGATTTTTTTCTACTTTATTTAATAATTGGATTTAAAGTATGGCTTCACGTATTATTTGTCAAGCAAACAAAAGTTGTGGGCCAAGAGTATAATAAAAACAATTTTTTCAAAAAATGACAACATTTTATGAAAATTTTTAAATAGCTGTAACTGTAGCTGGGTTGGAGATTAATTTGCATATATATATATATATATATATATATATATATATATATATATATATATATTCTAATAGGGAATTTAAGTCTATACAATTTATTTTACATGAATTTCTTTATCTGATAAATGTCTTAGACGATATGAAGGAATGTTTGATGAAAAATGTGAGGTAAAATGATTTTTTCTAAAAATGTCATATTTTTCCGAGCATGTAGCTTGAAAACAGTGTACAATTTGGATAAAACATATAGAGTAAAAGTTTTAGATAACTTTATGAACTTTAATTTACTATGCCTTAATTACTATAAACTTTAAAAATTGTGGCCTTTCCTCCCGCACTTCCCACCTCCCAGCTCACCACCTAGACGTCAGGACTTTTGATATGTTCATACCCTAAGCACTCTGAACCTTCTTCCTTTCCCAACATAAAAACTCGACCCGGAAATCTTCTGAAATTTTTACCACCTTTTACCTGATGGGTGCCGAACAACGTTCTTTTTCTTTCTTTTTTTTAGATTTCTTATTTTGTTCCGGCTAATTAGTAAAGTTACTGTAATAAATACGTAGATATATGTGTTTTTCGAAAACGCCTCAATATTTTTGTAGGCCACTATGACCATTTGATTGCACTCATCTTTATTAACTATTGGTTTGAAATTCAGCCGAATGTTCATAAATTTTTAAAATGTCTTTCTGACAACATGTTGGGGTTGTAGGTGACACCAAATGCACCAATTCCGAGAATTCTCGTAGATAAAATTTGTAGGTTTCGACAAAATGAAGCCACTCATGAAGTTTTAGGCGGATGTTAATAATTTCATGAAAAGGGGTCTGTACTAAGGACTATAATGGATCCAAGTCAGAAAACTCAACGGCTTCTGCTTTTTTTATCTGTGATTTAACACATAAATTTAAAATAAATAAATTAAGCTCCATATGTGCTTGTTTTAGGTGAAATTTTTTTAATATTATAAAATGAGGCTCTGTTTATTTTAATTTTTATAGCTACGTTTCGGCCGGTAAGCCATCTTCAAGCCATCTATAATATAAACACCATTAATTTTAAATTTTAATGTAATTCTGCACTCTATGAAGGTGGTATTAGTATAATTAAATTAAATATTCTATAAATTATAACTCTAATTAGGTTAAGTCAATTTTTTTAAATTTTTGTAATAAACTCTACCAGTTAAATTGTAAATTAACAATACCACTAGGTAGAATGAGGTTGCTTTTGTATTCAAATACAGAAGTATCATGTTAAGATCAACATGTATAAATTATTTTAGATTTTATAACTTCCTTACTTTATTCAATCATGCTTTTTGCATGTAGTCCAAAGTCCAATTAAATTATTAGTGTGGTTGGGAGGTTGCACATTGTTATATATTTCTTTATATAAACTCACTTATTAAAAGTTGTTATTAAACCTTTGTTTAATTAAAATTTCAATTTTGTTATATTGGCATATGTACTGTTTAATCCTTTTTATCAGCTTGGAAATTGCATACCGTGTCTAAATTTTTGGAAATGTAAATGTGATAGCGATATCAGATAAATGGCAAACGATGTGGGATGAAAGCCCTCCTAGTAAATTAAAACATATAAAAAAGATGTGTAAACCATGATCTAGATCCAACCGCAGCTGCCATAGAGAAGAGGTCCCACTTGAGGATTGGTCCCACACTCAGACCTTATTAGAAAGCAACCGCTTCCGTTATGCCAGTACTGTCATTGTGTGCTCTCAGTTAAACATATTTTTGAGGAGTGTAATCACTACATTTCCAGTATAAATAGAATAGGATTATCCCCAAATTTGTCCATAGCTCTTAATGACAATGTAACTTCAATCACATTGGTATTTGAAGTTTTAAAAACACAGCTACTTCTTTCTAAGTTATAGCACTTTTACTAAATTATAATTTAAAAAAAAAAATCTACCATTTCTCCTTGTTATTTTATTTTGTTTCATTCTGTAATTTAATAACTTTTGTATATATATATATTTTTTTTCAATGATATAGTCTAAATGTTTTACAAGCTTATAGTTGAAATAAACTGTAGGCATTGATGACCTAGGGCTTTTATGCCTATAAACAAGAACAAACATACAAATGATATACTTTTACAATAAAAATTCCTAGTAAGTCATTTAGTGTGGAATAAAAGTAACTCAATTTATTACTGAATAAACAACTAATAAAACATATCAATTGCCAGTAACATTTTAATCTAATCGGATTTTGTTTTAGATATTCAATTTGGGATGAAAGGCTTGGAGCGATTATTTCTTACTATAAAAACAAGGCAGATGGCCAGAGATTCATCAGTTGTTTGGAAGAAGCATTATTTGATTTGTATGTTGTATTAAATTATAATAAATAATGTTATAGTCTTGTAATTCATCTTTCTCAATATTTTACTTTTAAACTTCTTGTGATTAAATATGTTGGTATCATAATCATGGTTAGATAGAATAAAGGATATAAAAAATAAATAAACGGAAATGAATTACCCAAATTTTACATTGGAATGTAAAATTTTTGGAATTTTCCAGAAAAAATGGAGTCTTTATTTATAAAAACAGTGATTAAAATTTATAAATACTAAAGCAGTTGTATATCATGAAAATATGATACTGATTCATTTTAATATATGTATCTTTTATTTTGTTTTTTTAATTCTCTAAAACTTTTACATTATGTATGTGAAGCGAAAAGCTCCTTTTACAGTAGAAAATGTACCTAAAACTGAAACAGTTAATTTTCAGTAATTGGTACCTTGGTCAAATTGTTTCTATTCTTATATATTTCCCAAAAAGCATGAGATGATTGACCACAGCATTGTCCTAAAGCTATTGTGACTGTTTTTTGAAGATTAAATCAGATTCGACTTGTTATCTTTAAGAGTTCTTATGTATTCAAAAATGTTGATTCTGTCTTCATCATATTTTTGAAAACTTTTTCCATAGAAAGTACCTAAGAATCAAATGTATTTTCAGAGAAATTATGATAATCAGCTTTACTTTATGATTTTAAGAAGTATATTTTCTGATAACTTTTTCTTTTGAATAACAAGAACAATTTACTTGCCCATTGTTTTATTCCTATAAATTATTTCTTTAAAAATGTAATGACAAAAAATATCAATAACTGCTCAATATGAAACTCACTGGTCACTGTTTATAATTTTACAGTATCAGCTGAAAATTTTGCCAATTTTTATTTATTAATGACAATAAATGTCAAAAAGTTTTATAAATGTAGAAAAAATTATTTTAAAAAATATATGTATTATTCTTTATTTATTTTAAGAACTTATGTTACTCCCACAATGATCCCTGAAACTTTACATTATTTGCCTTTTTGTTTCAAAATTGCATCAGATTCACTAGATTTCACGGACTGATAAAAGCTCTTAAAGACAACAAACGATGTAGAGCAATAGTCGACGGAACAGGAGGACCTACTTACTTTCTTTCAAAATTTCACAACCATAGTTTAGACGATTTTAATAATGACAACTCATATGACATTAAAAATGCCATAGAACTTAAAGAAACAATTGAAGAAAATAGCCACATTGGTAAGGATTACACCATGTTTTGTTACGATGTTACTATCATTATTTACAAACAACCCCTTAAAATTGGTATATAAGCTATTTTCAGAAAACTGGGAAACAATTGAGCCCCATACAGCTGTAAAAAGTAAATGGTTATTTCTCATACCAATATCAATTATACCGTCAAATCTTTGGTTTACCAATGGGATCAAGCCTCTCTATCAATCTATCGGCTATAGTCCTGAATAAGATAATTGATCAAGCACTCTAGACATCGAATGTAAAATCTCTCATTATAAGGAAATATGTCGATGATTTATCTCTAATAATTAACAAAGATGAACACTCTAAATTAATAGATACAATAAATAATATATATATAGCAAACTTAAATTCACCTCAGAGACTGAAGAAAATAATAGACTAAACTTCTTTGATGTATCAATAGTCTGGGGTGGAGGCAAGCTACTTACGAAATGGTCTCGAAAACCAATTACAGATGAATATAATTTAAATTAGTATTAAAATCACCCTAAGTCTCAAATCATTAATGTAGCAACTAATCTAATAAATAAATCTATAAAATTTGCCGATGAATTTTTTTTAAAAGAGTTTTCACCCCAGGCATATTATTTACAAATAAAATTTGTTACAGCACTCTGGATAAACACAAAAATAAAGATAATGTTAAAGAAACCGACCAAAATGTAAATTGTAATACAAAAAAGCAAGAACAGCTTCGATACACAAGAGAGAAAAACAAGGTAAAAATTACATCTCAAACTGATATAACCAATTTTTTTGAAAAAAACTTGATCAAGATGTAGATAGGGGTACGTCTGACATTGTGACTATACAGGAACCTCCCCAAGAAAAAATTATATTAACCCTTTTAAATATTATTTATTTAATGAAATTTACAACTTTATAAATAATACAACTAGTAAAAATGCACACATAAGAAATCGTGACATGAACAGACTTGAAGAGATACTGCCCAGTGGTAGCACTCCCTATTTAATTCTTGGTGAGAAGATCATGATGTTTATTTTTATTCATTAATCTGTTCTTCCTAGCAACTACTATTTTATTTTACTATACTTTCTTTATGACCATTTCTTCTCTGGCCTTCAAAGCTCAGATGTCTTATCAATAAAATCATTTTCTGTAGGAATCCCTCAACTCTGAATTCTGACCCCACTCATGTACATAATATTTTCTCTTTGACTTATGGACTGACAATAACTATTAATGATCTATGTCGGCAACATACTATCACCAATACCACAAACAGATATTATATGGGACTTATTTAAACAAAACATAAAACTCTAGTCTGAGAAGTTCTAAATTATCACCCAGACATAATTATTATGTTTGTTTTTATTTACTACAGTCTACATGGACTTGGATATGCCAAATTAATGGCCCAACTAAAAAGATATTCATCTGGAAAATAAGTACACTTCAATCCATATATGGATAATAATATTCATTTCCATACGTCCAAATTTATCAATATATTGTTATGTCTCATAACGAGTACATCTTTCATGATCTTCTAACAACATATAACATTCCAGATTATGAGACTGTTTGTATATTGTGAGTGCCACGATTCACATTCTTATAAATTAAAAGCAGTTTCAAGACGAATCACATTAACAGACTGTTAAGTAAAAAAATAGGAATGAACGATATGCTTGATCTTTTTCATTGAAGGCTCAACAGCAGTTTTATGAGAGATTAGCCAGCCTAACCCCAATTAGCAAGAAAACAAGAGATTTTTATATATCCAATGCTGTTTTCTCATGTCTATGTATGCCATAATTTCATTTAGCCCATTTTCTTATTGTAATTATTACAAATGAAGAGTAAATTATTTAGATAAAATAATTTTATTGTTTGGTTTTCATTCAAATTCTTTAAAAAAAAAATATATATATTAATATAATAGAATTTATCCCCAGTTTATTTATTCTCTTTTTCCCCTAATCTAGAGCTAATTAAAAATAGAAATGACATATTTTTATTTTACTTTTTCATTAATTCCAAAACAGCATTTTGATGAGGGCAGTGGGCTGATTAGATCTTAGAATATATATATATATATATATATATATATATATATATATATATATATATATATACATATGTGTGTGTGTAGAAGATAGATCAAATGTTAATAGGAACTATTTTATATTACTATAAATTAGCAGAAGTAATGGATAAAAGTTAGATAATTGTTGGAAACAGTTATTGTAAGGTATGCCAGTACATACAATAAAAATAGATATGTTCCTAAAATAATAGCCATGGTAGTGGTATTAATAGCTTCTAGGGTATGATTATAACACTTTATTTTGACTGAAAGAGAAGAATATGATAATATACAGTGCTATCTTTACCCCATGAATTCACTGTGCTGGACCCTACAGCCCTACAGTGAATAGGGTCATCTATGATTTGTATGCGAATAAAAGAATTGTAGCAGCAGAGAAAATCGATGACATGTTTCTAAATGTAGAAACATAGAATTTAGTATACAAATATTTGTATGCATGATTGAGCATATTAGAGTGGGGAACATTCCCTCAAAATCAAAGCAAATTTTGAAAGAACTCAAAAGTATGATGCTTTAAGTTAAATTGAGCAGTTTTCCCTGATTTCAATAGAAAGTTATATACTTAATTAAATTTTAAAAAGTAAATAAAACATGATTTTAATTAGTAAGTTGATTATTTCTGGTTGACAACCCAAAGTTATTCAGAAAATAACTTCTCCTACCTGAAGGGCCCATATCTTAAAATGCTTAAAAGGCCCCAAACTTGGTTAATGAAGTTTTCTTGATAATACAGCAAATATTTCCAATGAAAGGGCAAAAACATTCACACACATTTCACTTTAGTCAAATTGTCAAAAAAGGAGAGACTCTGCTGTTTATCTTTAAGTGATCTTACAAATAAAGATAATAAATTATTAGGAGTGAGACGATAATTTTTTGTTTCTTCATTTAATGTTTTTTTATGCAAAGTCATGGAGGCTTATTAGCTTTATTATACTTTAAGCAACACCGTGAAGTTTATAACTCCTTATATAAGTATTGTCATATTATACTTGCATATATAAGTACTGTATTAACTTGTGTGTTGCTAAGTATATACTTATTTACCAACAAGTGGTAGTATTGGCAAGATTAAAGTAGCAATACATTGAAACATATCAACTTTCAGTCTAAAATCTGTTTAATTTATTTTAATATATTGTGAGTCAATATTTGTACTATAGCCCAAGTATGTGGCTTTACTCTCCCTTTATAAATTACTACTTTATCTTCGCCAAAGAAAAAAAAAATTTCAACATATTTTCTTAAAATACAACTATTAATTGTTTAACTTAATATAAATAGCACTTGTCTAACAATACAAAACAAAATCTTACAACTGTATCCATCTCTATTCAACGTTATCTTTACCATAATAATAAGAGTCATAATATTTACAAGAAACTATGTTTTTGGAGTTTTTATTAGTGATTTTGTATGAATTGACCTGACACATGGTTCACACCAGACTTCCTTCTGGTTTACCGTTAATTTTGTAGTTCAATGTACTGAATAATATTTTTTAATCATTCTAGCTTTCATATAACATAATTTAGTTTATTATAACTGGTCGTAATAAATATTTTTTAAACATTTTTCTATGAATGTGTGGATTTTATTTTTTTCACTGCCCTTATGTATGAGAACAACAAAGTTTTAATACATCACCAAAATATATCATAAAATATTTATTGACTAAATCTCAAGGTCCTCAGAAAAGATATATAATTAACAGCAATATATATATATATATATATATATATATATATATATATATATATATATATATATAGGGAGAGAGAGAGAAATATTTAAGCCAACCTCAGCAGAAGATATGAGAAAAT